GCGGGTGGACAGAACGTAAATAAGGTAGAAACCAAGGTGCAGCTGACGCATATACCCACCGGCATTGTGGTGGTTTGCCAGCAGGACAGGAGCCAGCTGGGCAACCGCGAGCGGGCCATGGAAATGTTGAAAAGCCGTCTCTATGAGCTGGAACTCCGCAAAAAGAATGAACTCAAAGACGCCGTTAACAGTTCCAAGAAAAAAATAGAATGGGGCAGCCAGATACGCAGTTATGTTTTCCATCCCTATAAAATGATCAAAGACCACCGTACCGATTATGAAGTAGGCAATATTCAGCCGGTAATGGATGGCGCGCTGGACGGATTTATTAAAGCGTATTTAATGAGTGAGAAAGAAGCTTCCAGTTCTTAGTGTAAAGTTAATAGTCGTGAGTGGTGAGTGGTGAGTGGTGAGTGGTGAGTGGTGAGTGGTGAGTGGTGAGTAATTTTTGGAACCGCAAGATACCCAATTGGCTGGATGGTTGGTTTGTCCCGGCAGCCCTGAAGGGGCGTCATATAATTAGCCCGGCGTGGAACGCCGGGGGAACGAAAGTGGGTATCAACGACCCTGAAGGAGTCGAATATTTCTTCCGTTGAACAGACATCCCAAAATCAGAAATCAGAAATATATGTCAGGCTATTTCTCCTATCCCTTACCAGTAAACGAACCTGTATTAAATTACGGTCCGGGTTCTGCAGAGAAGAAAAGATTAAAAGAAGTACTGAAGGAATTAAAAGGGCGCGAAGCCGATATCCCCATGTATATCGGAGGCAAGCAAGTGCGCACCAATAAAAAGATAGCGCTGCACCCCCCGCACGAGACGGCACATACCCTTGGTTATTTTCATGAAGGCGAAGCCAAGCACGTGCAGCAGGCCATTGATGCAGCGCTGGCAGCCAAAGAAAACTGGGCAGCCATGAGCTGGGAGAACCGCGCCAATATCTTCCTGAAAGCAGCAGACCTGATTGCTACCAAATACCGCCCTTACATGAATGGTACTACCATGCTGGGCCAGAGCAAAAATGCTTACCAGGCAGAGATAGATGCCGCCTGCGAACTCATCGATTTCTTACGTTTCAATGTTCATTTTTTAAGCGAGATATACCGCCAGCAGCCCATCAGCAGCCCGGGCATGCACAACCGCCTGGAATACCGCCCGCTGGAAGGCTTTGTACTGGCCATCACCCCATTTAATTTTACGGCCATTGGCGGTAAC